TACTTAAATTTCAACTTAACCCTGTCTTATTGCATATTGCAGAGCTTGTCAACCTTTTACAGTTTAGTGTACAATACATATGCAGACGACAGCATCCATTTATGGAGCAAATCTTGTATGTTAAGTGGATTGTAAATAAAGCTGAGTTGAATTTGTGTTTGGGATGAATTTAAAAGGTGTAACATGAAGCTTTCATAGATACCTCTTTAAGACAATCTATAAACAGTTCATTTCATGTCGGCATTATTTATTGGAACCAAAGGTAAAGCTTTGTAATGTGTCTAAGCGATTTTCAAGTACCGGGTGTTCTACTGCATGCATTTGTAACTTTTGGGTGAAAAATGGACACGTGATACAATGCAATTTTATAAAATAATAAATAGTACACATATCAAATACGTTTCATTGTGATTTGCTTTTGTTTGTTGTTGTTTTTTTTTTTTGTTTCTTTATTGTTGTTAAATACTAAACTACTAGTGTGCAAAATAAATAAATAAAAATAAATATGAATAGATAAATAATATAAATAAATAAAATGATGAAAATTAATACTATTATACAGGTTAAAGAATGTTCTGTTGGGTGAATTTATATATATATATATATATATATATATATATATATATATCTATATATATATATATATATATATATATATATATATATATATATATATATATATACACAGGAAACTTTAAGTAATATAAAACGATTAAACATACGAAGATCATCTGTTTAAATCCGTCGAAAATCAAACTGAGTGATAAGGCTACTTCAAGATAGATATATTGTTCAAACAGAGATACTTTTCGTACCGTACTTCTAACTTTAAAACAATGATATATGTTGGGATATGGTTTGGGATATGTGTATAGTATTGAAATTTTGATTGTGCTACTGTGGGTTGGCTAGTGGGTTAGGATATTTCATGAGTCACTTGGGACATTTTATGTCTTGCTGAAGCGGTTGACCATATGGAAGAAAACACGATACACGGAGAGAAACCATCTTAGGTTTACGTATGAATGTATCTAGTGCGGTTTAATGCCGTGTTATGCAGTACAGCAGGTATTACGGCTCCAAGATAAAACGAACAATATTCATAAAACTAATCAAAGCCTGGAGGAAATAATCTCACGTCCATGCCCAAGACAGCCTTCTGGCTGACAAGCTGGCAGACAGCATGCTAATAAATTACTATATTGCCCTTCTACAACTGACCTTATATATTTCAGTAACTGAAGTGTATTTTATGATACATGCACGCAATCAGCAAGTGCTGATGTCATGTTTTAGCAATCGTACTGGATTGATAAATATGGTGATCATTGTTTTTGTTAGTCAAACAATTGTACCAGACGCTATGTAATAACGCATGACTCATCAAGTCGACGTACAATGTTTACTTTAGACTCGTAAACTTAATTCGACATTGACCAATGCTGCAGCTTTTTGATTGGCCAGGATTTGCTGGAGTAAGATTTTTCTAGTGGCGTACACAAATGGTAGTCATGGTATCTTGTCCGTCTGTCCGAGTTTCATATATGCAGATCTTCTTCAACATGTAGAGGAAATTTATCAAATATGTTAACAGACATTAATAAACTGTATGGAAGATTTAGATCTCGAATTTATCTCCAAGGTTGTTTGGATATCACCAGGCAACACTTTACCACTTTCTGATTTTTTTTTTCTTTCTGAATTTTGAAACGTAGTGAGACCGTACCTGCGAATCAGCCAAAGTGTTTGTATAGTAATGAAAATATTTGTTTATACCTCCTAATCAGCGTATGTCCTTCTCACAAGTTCAGATTTCTCTTTTTGTCTGGCTTGGACTGAAGTGAATATATTTTCATGTAATTGTGGAGTCAAAATTTATATCATCTCCCCTCCCCCCTCTCATCGCGACCCACCTAAAAAGTATTATTACATGGACTAGACATGGTTGTCTTCATTGGTCTATAGCGGTAGGTCAAAGCAATTTGGTTGTCCGTACATAAAATGCGTACTTATGCTAATGGCAGCACCCAATATTTTTGTGGTTTTCCTTTGCCATTCTTATTCCAACACAAAAAGCCATATATATATATATATATATATATATATATATATATATATATATATATATATATATATATATATATATATATATATATATATATATATATCTTGATAATGTTTTTCGTCTAATTTCTTTTAACTCTTCTACAGATTTCCACATTCAAACACGTAATTATTTCTGTCTTGAGAGGTAATTTTTTGATTTGGATTCATTTTATATTTTTCTCACAAAACTTTGACTGCTTTCATAGCATTTTCCGTAACCTACTGCTGTGGATACCTACTCGTCCCTCTACTGTAACGATTATAAAACAATATTATGTTTAGGAACAGAACTGCATTCTTAAAAAGTATTTTCTTCGGACCGCTCCGGTGGCGTAATAGTTAGAGCGTCCGCAAGTGATGTGGGAGGTCACGGGTTCGAACCCCGACCGAGTCATGCAAAAGACTTAATAAATTGGTACCAACGGCTGCCTCGCTAGGCGCTCAACTTTAAGAAGCTAGTGTTAAGAATGGATGGTCGGTGTGTCAGGATAATGTGACTGGATGGGACATCATGCTACATGTCTGCGGCATGATGTCCCAGTGTTAGACATCACTATAAACTACCACACTGCAGACATCGTAACGATATAAATGAAATATTGTTAATGCCAAGTTTAATATCAAAATCACAGAAACATACACATACACATATACATACATTTTCTATACATACGTCTTTCATTGGTAAGTAAATGCAGTTCTACTTTAAATATTTGTATGCTTAATGTGACTACTGACATGGTTGGGGTTAGGTGCTCCCAATATTTTATTTAAACTATTATAGAAGTCCCACTTAGGCTCTATTTTGTTGGAAGATAAATTAGTGAAAGATATATATATATATATATATATATATATATATATATATATATATATATATATATATATATATATATATATATATATATATTGCTGACGGGGGGCTTGGAGATATATATATATATATATATATATATATATATATATATATATATATATATATATATATATATATATATATATATATATATATATATATATATATATATATATATATATCCAAAAATAAACCCGTCAGCAATACCGACGTTTAAATGGTTAAATATACAAAAAGTTTGAAATTCAATGAATAAAAGTTTAATAGCAATTTAATAATCAAATGAATCAACTTTCCCATTATACTCCTTACGCTCAACCCTATATCAAGCCTATTGCATCACTTGATTAACACTGTGAGATCTATTTCCACCTGTTCTTGTATTTCTACTCATCTGGTGTATTGTTTCTCTGTCCATTTTTTCTCAATTCTTTCTCTTCTTTCTCCTCGACTTGTCTCCAACTTTCTTCTCCTCCTCCTTGACTTTGTCTAGACTCTATCTCCTCCTCCTCCTCCACTTTCTCTCCCACGACTACCCTTCTGTCGACTTCGACTGTGTCGGCTACCGTCTCAATTTCGTCTCTAATTCTTGAAGACGTGGACCCAATAGAACCGGAAGTTCTCTCACCACTAAAATGCTTCCTTTTCGAGGTTTGTCTTTCCTTAGGATCTGCCTCTAATTTTTGCCACCAAATTACGAGTGGCTTCTTCAAGGAGTAAACCACATCGATCAGAAATCCGTCCAGACGAATGCTAAATTTTCTCTTACGAGTTCGGAAATCATCATTCAGGTCTGAATTGTACTCACACCCTCTATTTCAATTTTGGTTTCATATCCCTGTAACATATCCAATCAAGCTTAGCTGACAATGTCCCTCTCGTAGTCTGTCAACGTGGGGACAGAACAAAAAAAAATGCCCTGTTCACCGGGCTTCCTTTTTGATCCTGAAACTAATATAGGTGTGATACCGGCAACTCTTTGTTAAGTCGTGCAGTCTATCGCCTTTGCCGATTCAAGTCTTCAGTCAACGGCATATAAGGTGACCTTGCGTAAGAGCTCAACACTAACCTTCCGCATCTTTAGACATCAAAGTCAAGGCTGCGGTAATATTCTCAAGACAGGTAGATTATAGCTTATTAATAACTTTATAGCGGGGGCTTAACAAACGTGACACTGAAGAAGCCAAATAAATGCCATCAAAACTTTTATTTATATGGCATAACCTTCTTGTTCCAACTGATATTTTGGGTATCATATTTTCAGGGATAGGAAAATATGCTAAAAAATTATAGTCATATTGATTGATAGGATGAAGTGTATAATTCGTAACATTTCAACAGAGAAAAAAAAATCCCAACAGGCCTTATTGACTCTATACAACATTTACACAAGCAACACAAAATTAGCTAAATGAGAAGATGGTCCCACGGGAAAAAATTGACTTAAATATCACTATATGAAAATTTCATGTATCTGAAAGAGAGAAAAATAAAATAAAACTATTTTGCAATAATTACACACATACACACACACACATACATATATATATATATATATATATATATATATATATATATATATATATATATATATATATATATATATATATATATATATATATATATATATATATATATATATATATATATATATATATAAAGAGTCAAACTTGGACTCTTGGAATGTTATGCTTCCATCTTGATTTAACACGATCCACTTCCACACCCATCTGCCTCAACACATACCACCTCCATTGCAGGGGTGGCGGGATATATAATTATGCGCCTGAATGAAATATTTTATTTAGAAATGCAATATTTCCGAAACAATTAGTATAATCGAGAGGCTATTCGCACAATACATACAGCAATCACGTATGTGCTTGTCCAAGTTGTCTCCCTTTGTCCACACTTTACTTTTAGCTTCAAAGTATGTTTTATGTTAACAAATGAGGTCATTAGAAACTATCAATAATATTGTCGACAAATGCGATCAATACGAAATTAATAATACCGATATCAACAATTGAGATCAATTGAACAAAATCAATAATGAATTATATAGAATCCCTGATCAAGATAAAGTTACCTGTTTAAAATGTTAGCGCAAATCTCCCCAAGTCACTTTATTTTCCATGTCATGCACACGAGCAGCAGCTCGTCACGTATTCTAGCGAATTCGTGATTCCTTGACTTAGTTCTTCTCTGCTTTTGTAATGGTTTACTTGTAACTAATCTTTTAATTTCGGAGATAGCCATAAGTTGCAAGTTGCTCAATCTTAGATTTCAAAGCCATTTTTATTTTAAGGAATACATTACAACATTATGCGGAGTAGGTGGTAGGGCGTTATCCTGGTGCAAACCAAAAGCTCCCCGCAGTAGATCTGGACACATTTTGTGATTAGAAATACAGTTATGTTTGATTACTTTCTTAAAGTATCGTTCATGCAATGTGGTATTCCCTTTTGCCACGTTTCTAAAAAGTATGCAAAGTATTTTAGAAACCATAATATACATAATCATTTCAGCAGATACGGATAAACGTACCTTTATAGGATAAGACTACCGTGTGTGCATGTATACGTACTGCTTTGTTTCTTGCTCTCCGATTAAAAGTAATTTATCCAAACTTCATAACATATAATAATAATAATAATAATAATAATAATAATAATAATAATAATAATAATAATAATAATAATAATAATAACGAGGACTTTATATAGCGCCTAATCTTTAGAAGCTCTAAGCGCTTTAGAACATTTGACAACGCTTAAAAAGAATATGAAAAACAAACCATATATAATGAAATGATTACAAAAATTAAAAACAAACACCACAAAATTAGAAACAGAAAACATGCTGTAAAATTGTAAGGTAAGGATACGTTAAAAAAGAATACATAATTAGGTCATTATGACTGTTCTTGCAGTTGAAATATATGGGTTTTAAGGGAGCTCTTGAATGAGATCACTGTCTTTGTGTCTAGGTGCAGTGTGCAATTCGTTCCACGTTGCTGGGCCCTGGTAGGCAAAAGAAAGTTGTCAATATGATTTCAAATTCATAGTGGGAATATTGAGAATGCGAGTGTCGGAAGAGGAGCATAAGCATCTTGCAGGTGTATACACATGGGTGATGTCAGATAGGTATGTTGGACTGGAGCCCGTCAGTAAAACGAAACACAGAGAACAAATTTTGTGTTTAATTCTGGATCGTATAAATAGCCAGTGTAGAATACATAGCAGCAGAGAGGCATGCTCTGATCGTGGTACTCTAAGGATGATCCGAGCAGCAGTGTTTTGAACTTTTTGAAGTCTTTGAAGTAGATACTGAGATGAACCAGACATAATTAAATTACAATAGTCCAGTCTTAAAAGTACTAAGGAACACACAAGTCTTTTTTATGGCATCAACTGACATATACTTGCGAATGGAGCTGATGCGTCTCAGCTCAAGATATGCAGCCCGGCATATGTTCATGACATGTTGACGCAATGAGAGAGTTCTCTCAAGAGTGACTCCGAGGTTTCGTACTGACTGCTTGAATTTAATGTTGGTGTTGCTAATATTTATTGTCTGAGGTAAAGGATGTGAATGAGAAAGTCTTAAGTGTTGTAATCAGGATGGCTTTAGTTTTATTGTCATTCATCTGCAGCTTGTTACATGTTATCCATGATTTCACATCAGAAATGCACCTCTCTATGCCTTGGATGGTAGCTTCAACTTCAGCTGGATGGCTAGATTTGTATATTTAAGTGTCATCAGCATACAATTGGTGAGACACTGGATGATGATCTATGACACTTGAGAGTGGCTGAGTGTACAGAATGAAGATAACAGGTCCAAGAACAGACCCCTGTGGAACACCACAGCATTGATCAACTGGGCTGGAGTGTTTTCCATTTGCAGACACAATGTTGTGTCCTGTTGACCAAGTAGGACTTGAACCATAGTAAGATCGTATCGTGAATGCCAAATACATGCTGGAGATGGCGAAGTAATATATCATGGTCGATAGTATCAAATGCTGCAGATAAGTCAAAAAGAGTGAGAACTGTAGTCTTTTCGCCATCCAAAGCAGAGAAAAGGTAATTGACTACTTTCAGAAGAGCGGTTTCAGTACTGTGGCGAAAGCTATATGCAGACTGTACATTGCTAAAAAGACTGTTTGAATTTATATGAGATACAAGTTGGGATAGAACAATTTTTTGCTAAGATTTTTGACATAAATGGGAGATTAGAAACTGGGCGGTAGTTCTTTAGATCATTATGATCAAATGTTGGTTTTTTCAGCAGAGGTTATACAATGGCAGTTTTGTAAAATGATGAGAATTAACCGGATGAGAGAGACGTATTAATAACATCAGTTAGTGAAGGCAATATTGGATCCAAGCACTCTAGCAGAAGTGACGTCGGAATCGGATCCAGTTCACATGACTTTGGTGCACTCTTCATCACGATTGTACGTACTAAATCCATAAAGACAGGTTCGAATGCTGCTAATTGTTGTCGCTGAAAGTCTGTAACACAACACTATG